CACCGTTCACCTGGTCCCTCACTTATGCCCTGATGGACCCATTTATTTCTTCATAATTCACTAGTGTGTGCATTCTTTCCTGCATCAATTCAGTGACTTACGCTTGTACTAATTTATGTAGTATTTGCTCACTCACTGGCCACACATGGACTGAGCACTTGCTATTGCAGAGGAGATACAAAGCTGAGCAAGACCCAGCCCTTGCCCTCAAGATCTGAGAGCCTCATGGGGGGTGGGGACCAGAAAGATAAAATATTACAATAAAGGTGACGCTTAACATTTGTAGATTCTGTATTTGCTGTTTGACTCTTCAATAAGCAACCACAGAGGTCTGTGACAACACAGATCTGAACTACACATGCACCAAGGCTGGTTGTGTGGGAATGAGGAAGACGCCTGACCCAGGCTGGAGAATGCAGGGAAGGCTTCTTGTAGGAGGTGATGTCTGGGCACCACCTATATGCCTGGCAATTTGCTGTATAGCTTGATTACTTATAACAATTTCCCGTCTCATTTTATTTTTTTCAAGATTTTATTTATTTATTTGAGAGAGAGTGTGCGCACGCATGGGGGGGCAAGGAGTGTGGAAGCAGAGGGAGAAGCCGACTCCCCACTGAGCAGGGAGCCCCAACCCGGACTCAATCCTGGGACCCGAGATCATGACCTGAACCCAAAACAGATGCTTAACCGCCTGAGCCACCCAGGTGCCCCTCCCAACTCATTTTAAAGATTAGGAAATCTGAGATCAGCTTATCCAAGGTCACAATGATAGTGGCAGAACAGAATTAGAACCAGAGACAGACTTCAAAGTCAGTGCACTTTCTTTCTTTTTTTTTAAATTTAAATTCAATTAATTAACATATAATGTATTATTTGTTTCAGAGGTACAGGTCTGTAATTCATCAGTCTAACACAACACCCAATGCTCATTACAACACATACCCTCCCCAATGTCCATCACCCACTTACCCCATCCTCCTACCCCCCTCCCCTCCAGCAACCCTCAGTTTGTTTCCTAAGATTAAGAGTCTCTTATGCACTTTGTACTACACATGACAGCTTCCCTGGGGGCCTGGCCAGCCACCTACCTACAGTGAAGAAGAGTGGGAAAATCTCTTCCCTAAAAACAGTGCGATAGGGTTATTTTGTGTATTTATTTGAGATGTTGAGTCTACCATTCAGTAAGCTTAGACAACTGTATACAACCATGTAACAAACACATGCAGCCGAGGCCACCACGATTCCCAATTTCTCTTGCCATAGATTGAGTTCGCCAGTTCTTGAGCTTCACATAAATGGACCTAAAGCTATAAAGGGTTTCTTCCTCTTTTTTTAAATTAATTTTCTTTTTTAAGTAATCTGTGCACCCAACGTGGGGTCTGAACTCACAACCCAGAGATCGAGAGTTGCATGTTTGGGATGCCTGGGTGGCTCAGTCGGGTAAGCATCTGCCTTCAGCTCAGGTCATGATCCCAAGGTCCTGTGATCGAGTCCTGAATTGCGCTCCCTGCTCAGTGGGGAGCCTGCTACTCCCTCTGCCCCTCCCCCGCTGCTTGTGTTCTCTCCCTCCCTCCCCCTCTCTCTCTCCCTCAAATAAATAAAGAAAATCTTTAAAAAAAAAAAAAAAAGAGTTGCATGCTCCACCCCCAGCGACTGATCCAGCCAGGCGCCAGGTTTCATCCTCTTAACGTAGTAAGAGAAGGTTTTAAAAGGAGACTTTTGTGGGGCGCCTGGCTGGCTCAGTTGGTAGACCGTGCAACACTTGATCTCAGGGTTTAAAATTTAAAAAAAGCAGGGGGACTTCTGTATGAAGTTAAGGGCAATCCCTCAGGAATGTCCAAAACAATGGCATGACATATCCCCAACTGTAGAAAAGGCAAGACAGGATGGCACTGCTGAAGCTTCCAAAATTCCTAGTTCCATTTACTTACCCTCTAGGAGGTGGGTGTTAATCACAGAAGCTCAGGGCCCCAACTTCTGGTGCTGGGGAGCCTCTGACCCTTCCATACCTGTCCCCTTACCTCTTCTCAAGGTGTGAGCACTGGGAGCCCACTTGGGTACGCTTGTCATCTGCTCTCCTACTGCCCTGGACCTCAGGAGTTACCCTAGCCTCCTGAGTAGGAAAGGCTCATCTCTATCTGGCCTCTAGATTCCTTCCCAGCATTTTAGGCTGTCCTGTACTTGCCTGCCCACACCTTCCTCATGTCTCCTGGAGGCAGGAATCTGGGCTTGTTCAAGGAGGCCCACCATCTCCTTGGAGGTCTTGGGCCACCATCTTGGTTCTGGCTTTTAGGAGCTTGGCAGCCTCTACAGTGGACGCAATCTCTGCAGGGGCTTCCGCCCTCTCACCAGCTTCTCTGTGAGTCAGCACCTGCCCCATGCCTCTTATCTCTGTCAAAGCGGGGTTCCCTTTCCAGAGGCCCACCAAGTCCCTGTTCCCCATGTGAACAGTGCCACATTTCTCCTTTAAAGAGCAGGAACAACAGAAATGGCTTGACTCACAGAATGAACAAGTTAGTTCAGGGAACCAGCCTTCTCAATTGCGGGTATGACATCTAGGTGTTCCCCAGGGAGGAGCAGAACATTCCCCAAGGCTGCTCAATTATATTTTCACTGTCTGGGCAAATTACTTTTATACATGACACAACAGATAGCAAACTTTCCTGGCACGGGTGAGTGGGGAAGGGGAGGTGGGTCCCCCAAGTGTCTACAATGGCAGAGACCCCTGATGTGACTAGAACTGGGTCGGATGCAGGAATGGGGGCAGTGACCTCAGGGCCCCCTGGACACTCCAGTGTCTTCCCCTAAAAAGGCTATGGCTGAGCCAGAGCTGCTGGGAATGACTGGCTGAATCTTTTTAATTGATGTCCTGAATATCTCCGCAGTAATTATCTGTGGCTCAGACTAATGTGCCCTGTGGCATCCTTCCAACACACCCCTCACAAAAGACTCAGGCTCTGTCTCACCAATTATCTGCGTTGTGCTGCTCATCCCAGAAGGAAGGAAGGGCTGGGGCAGGATAGTGTCCCTGTTCAGAGTCCATCCATCAGTCAGTCAACAACCTTAAGGAGCCCTTCAGAGGCAAATGCCTCTTTCATTCACTCTGATCTTTAACTACCTGCTCTCTTGTACTATTTCCTAATTGTCTTTGTTTCTGTCTTTCTCTCTGATGTAGTCATTTATTCAACAAAGATGTAATGAACCTGAGAGGCAATCTAGTACAATAAAGAACACCAACTCTGGAACCAGATTTTCTGAGTTCGAACCCTAGCTCTTCTACTTACTAACTCTGTGGTCTTGGGCAAACTATGCTTTGGATACCTTGTCTGTGAACTGAAAATAATCTTATACTCACTCACAGAGTTATTGCAGAGTTAAGTCAAATATGCAACCTGCTTTGGAGGGTTTCTGGCACATAGTGCTATAGATGTATTCGCTATTAAAATAAGCATTATTGGGGCACCTGGCTGGCTTAGTCAGTGGAGCATGTGACTCTTGATCTTGCGGTTGTGAGTTCAAACCCCACGCTAAGTGTAGAGATTACATAAACATAAAATCTTTTAAAAAAAATAATCACTGGGGCGCCTGGGTGTCTCAGATGGTTAAGCGTCTGCCTTCGGCTCAGGTCATGATCTCAGGGTCCTGGGATCGAGTCCCGCATCGGGCTCCCTGCTCCTTGGGAGCCTGCTTCTCCCTCTGCCTTTCTCTCTCGCTCTGTCTCTCATGAATAAAAAATAATAATAATAATAATAATAATAATAATAATAATAATCACTATTGCTAGGATCAAAACATAGTGGTAGACAGAGATAAACAGTGATCGGTAAAGAAATTACATCTGCCCTCACGGACCTTACATCTTAGCAGGAAGCTGCATCTTACAATTGTGACTTGAGGGAGGAAGTAGAAGCCAGGGGCTCAGAGGGATGTGATGGGGAGAGGGCACCCCAGCTGGACTGGGACTTCAGGAAAGATGTCCCTAAAGAAGCTCATGAACCGAATTCCACAGGATGGGCAGGAGCTGGCTGGGCAAAGGCAGCAGCAAGTGAAGCCATCTGAGGACATGAAAGGTCTGTGTTAATGGAGTTCACAGAGATCCTCAAAGTGCAGGGCAGGGAGGGCCGAAGATGAAGGACCTGGGGAGTCAGCAGTCAGGAGACCACTGGTGTGGTCTGCATAAAAAGTAGATGCAGCACCAAAGGCAGAGCCCATGAGAGAAAGAATTGACAAGTTGAACTCATTTATTAAAATTAAAAACTTCTGCTGTATGAAAGACACTGTCAAGAGAATAGGAAGACAAGCCACAGACTGGGAGGGAATATCTGCAAGAGACACATCTGATAGGGGCGCCTGGGTGGCTCAGTTGGTTAAGCATCTGCCTTTGGCTCAGGTCATGACCCAGGGTTCTGGGATCGAGTCCCACATCGGGCTCCCTGCTCAACAGGGAGTCTGCTTCTCCTTCTCCAACTGCCTCTTCCCCAGCTCATGCTCTCTCTCACTCTCTCTCTCTCAAATAAATAAATAAAATCTAAAAAACAAAAAAAACAAAAAAATGACACACCTGATAAGGGATGGCTATCTGAAATATACAAAGAACTCAACACTCAATAGTAAGAAAACAGACAACTTGATTAAAAGATGGGTTGGGGCACCTGGGTGGCTCAGTTGGTTAAGCGACTGCCTTCGGCTCAGGTCATGATCCTGGAGTCCCGGGATCGAGTCCCGCATCGGGCTCCCTGCTCGGCAGCGAGTCTGCTTCTCCCTCTGACCCTCCTCCCTCTCATGCTCTCTGTATCTCATTCTCTCTGTCTCAAATAAATAAATAAAATCTTTAAAAAAAAAAAAAAAAGATGGGTGAAAGATCTGAAGAGACACTTCACCAAAGAAGATACGTGGATGGCAAATGAGCACAGAAGAGGCCCCATATCATATGGCATCTGGAAAATGCAAATTAAAATACTACACAGCCTATCAGAATGACCAAAGTCCAGAACACTGACCGTAGCAGATGCTGGTGGGGATGTGGAGCAACAGGAACTCTCGTTCGTTGTGGTGGGAATGCAAAAACGTACAGCCGCTTTGGAAGACAGTTTGGTGGTTTCTTACAAACCAAACATACTCTTACCATACGATCCAGCAATCAAACTGCTTGGTATTTACCTAAAAGAGTTAAAAACTTATGTTTACACAAAAACCTGCACTCAGATGTTTACAGCTGCTTTATTCATCATTGCCGAAACTTGGAAGTGAAGAAGATGTCCTTCGGTAGATGAATAAATAAACTGTAGTACATTCAGACAATGGAATATTATTTAGCACTAAAAAAAAAATGAGCTATTGAATCATGAAAGGACGTGGAAGAAGCTTAAATTCATGTTACTAAGTGAAAGAAACTGATCTGAAAAGGCTACGTACTGTGTGATTCCAACTACAGGACATTCTGGAAAAGGTAAAACTCTGGTAAAAAGATCAGTGGTTGCCAGGGGGAGGGATGGATGAACAGGTGGAGCACAGAGGATTTTTAGGGCAGTGAAACTCTGTATGAGACTCTAATGGTGGGCCCATGTCTTCACACTTTTGTCCAAACCCACAGAATGGACAACCCCAGGAATGAGCCCTCATGTCAACCATGGACTGTGGGTGATGATGATGCGTCAGTGTAGGTTCATCAGCTGTAACAAATGCACCCCTCTGGTGGGGATGGGGATGGTGGGGGAGCTGGGGGGGGGCTGCTGGAGGATATGGGCAATCTCGATACTTTCTGTTCAGTTCTGCTGTGAATCTAAACTGCTCTAAAAAAATAAGCCCTATGAAGGAGGAAGGAAGGAAGGAAGGAAAGAAGGAAGGAAGGAAGGAAGGAAGGAAGGAAGGAAGGAAGGAAGGAAGGAAGGAAGGAAGGAAGGAAGGAAGGGAGGGAGGGAGGGAGGGTGGGAGAGAGGGAGGGAGGGAGGAGGGAGGGAGGGAGGAGGGAGGGAGGAAGGAAGGAAGGAGAAAAGTCAACCAAGGCAGCATCAGTGGGGAGGGAGAGAGAGACAAGTTACATCTATGAGGATGAACTGGGGTGAAGGGCAGAGGAAGGTTGGGGGTGATTCCCTGTTCAGCCCTGGGCCCTGTGGGTTGGGTGAGGGGCCCCATGGAGGGTCTGCTGGAGGAGGAGCCAGCCTGCATGTGGGATGGGACTTTGGTCTTAGACACACTGGCTTTGTGAAAGAGTCAGGGGAGGTGGAGGGGCCAGCCAGCATTTAGATTCATGGCTCTAAAGTTCAGAGATGAGAGGACGCCTGGGCGGCTCAGTTGGTTAAGCGACTGCCTTCGGCTCAGGTCATGGTCCTGGAGTCCCAGGATCGAGTCCCAGGATCGAGTCCCGCATCGGGCTCCCTGCTCAGCAGGGAGTCTGCTTCTCCCTCTGACCCTCCCCCCTCTCATGCTCTCTCTCTCAAATAAATAAATAAAATCTTTTTAAAAAATAAATTTAAAAAGTTCAGAGATGAGGTGTAGTTCTGGGAGGCACCGGCATGTTTAAGCTGCTGGTTTAAGCCAGAAGATGGAGAAACTGCCCAGGAAGCGTGAAGAGACAGAAAAGTAGGCTCAGTCTCTGCAAGGGTTGTGCGTGGCCCCTCCTGTGCACCCCAGCCGCCCCCTCCCTCTGAACCCCAAAGTTGGGCCTTCTTACCAATGCCCATCAAAATCAAACAGCTGGGGTGCCCCCTCTTGGGTAAAGGAACCCTGGTCAGAGACTTCAGGGCCCCGAGTCAGGTGGGGGTGGGGTTGGCAGCCTGAGAGTGGGGATGGGGAGCTCCGGAGGCAGCTGGGGTGGGGGAGGGGAAGACACCCAGGAGAGGAAAGAGGTGCAGGAGGGAAGGGAGTGGAGGGGTAAGGTGAGAAGGAAGGAGAGGCAGGCCTGGGGGAGCCAACCCAGCAGGAATACCGCTGACCTTTTTTTTCAACTTCTAGAAGTTAGCATTTACCTGCCGTGGGAAGGTTGCTTCTTACCAGATAGGTGAATACAGGTCAATGTTTTAGGCTCTAGCTCATTAGGGTTGATTACCAGCTGAGAAAAGCCAAGCTGTGCCTCATCCAGCCAAGTCCTTACTGGTCATCTCCTCCTGGCCATCCCCTCCCATCAACCCTCCTCCCACCCCAACCTGGGCCCAGCTCTTTGCACCGCTCTTGCATCTGCTCTGAGTGTCCAGATCCTTCTTCCTCTGCGTGCCTCACTGTCCCTCTCCAGCTCTAGTCACTGACTCCTCGGCTCCGGAGCAGCCACCCCCCCAGCACTGAGGTACGTCCCCCTTCTCTCAGTCGAGGCCTCCCACCCCACCCTCCTGTCCTCAGTCCGAGGTGACGGGCGGGTTTTCACACAGCTAACAGTTCTGCGTGATCCCTGCTCCTCTTTGCTGACCTGAGCAGGGACCAGCGACCCTACAACGTACCACGTAAGTGCTTTTCCATGTCATATACAATCTGCGTGGCATCGTCCCGCTGATGCATTCTATCCCATCTACAAGATGTCCGCTACCTAACCACCACCTACTGTTGAAACTGTTGGGCAATTGCTCTTTTTTTTAAAAAGGAAGGGTCCCCCCCCAGGGTGTTCCCTAAGAGCCTGAGCCATGAGGAGTACATTCCTCCCAAATCTTGGAGCAGCTGAGTTCCAGAACTGTCTGCTCTGCCGAGAGACTGGGAAAACGGTGCTTACCTGTGGCCTGCCTGACCTACCTATCCCCCTGTAGCCCCGGCACCTGGGATCGAACAGGGAACCGGAGAGGGGCCCCATCCCAGGGACAGGTGGATCACTATCATTGGATTTGCCACTCTGCTTTCTCACATGCCCCAATGCCCACCTCCTCCCGTACCCCCCGAGTATTGTGAGCGCCAGGCCAGGTCCACTTCATCTCTCTTCGCTCGGCCCGTGGCATGGTGATAGAGAGAGCAAACACTGAGTGAGCCCTCGCTCTCTGCCAAGTACTTCACCCGTATGAATAACCTAAGAGGTAAATGCCACAAGTGTGCCCATTTACATATGCTGAGCCTGAAGCCCCGAGAGGTTAATTAACACGCCCACGGTCATACAGGTAAGAGAGACCCAACTGACATTCAGGCTCATGGATTTCTAGAAACTTCCCTGAAATACTCACATGGCAGCAGAAGTCTGGAGTCTGCTCCAGGTCTGGGAGGGCGGGCTTGGCGAAAACGCAGCCTCCTGCTCTGCTTCTGCTGAGCGACAGGAAGCCTCAAAGGAGGTGAAATAATGGCCATAAATACCTTTATTACAGGAAGACTTGTGCGGCTTTTGCATGTGTTTCTGGAAGTACTTCACTACCAAAGATCTTTTGCGGTGCTGTGAAGAAGCAGGGCAGGAATCCTTCTATTTCTGATAAGGAAACCGAAACCTCAGGGGCGCCTGGGTGGCTCAGTTCAGCGTCTGCCTTCGGCTCAGGTCATGATCCCAGGGTCCTGGGATCCAGCCCCGCATCGGGCTCCCTGCTCAGCGGGGAGCCTGCTTCTCCTTCTCCCTCTGCCTCCCGCTCCCCCTGCTTGTGCTCTCTCTCTCTCTGTCAAATAAATAAATAAAATCTTTAAAAAAGAAAAGAAACTGGAACTTCGAGAGAAGTGACTCATCCAAGGTCACAGCATGGTGAGGGCAGGAATGGCATCCGTGAGACGGAAAGACTTTCAGAATAGGATGAAGCAAGCTTGTCTTGACTATGTGCTTGGGGAACAGCCCTCCCTTCTGCCGCTTCCCAGTGGTCCAAGGTATCTGCGGGTGGAAAGGTCTCTGCTGGGGGGCTGGGGCTCTGGGGTGGTGCTGCGCATGCTCCAATCTGCTCTCGTCTTGGAGGCCAAAGCTGCATTTGTAGCTCGGTGTGCATGGTGTGGGGAGGGTGCAGGGCCCCTCTGGCTCAGCGGCTGCACCCTCCAAAGCCGGCTTTATGAAGGAGGACCAGCCATTATTTCCCACATAAAACACCTTTATGGACTTGCAAACGCTAGGCTCCAAAGTTGGCTCACTCAGTTGGACCTGCTTGAATAAGCTATGTCATCAGTCATAGAGAAATGGGCCGCTCCCTCCCGAAAGTGCCCTACACCAAAGCCTGTAAGTCTAGGCTGAGCTGGGAGGGGGACACCAACTAAGACAGGTAGTCCCTGGCCTCCCAGGCAAAGCGTGCGGTTTGGACGTCTGGACAGTGATGCATATGCACACTTGATAAACCACCACCAGGTACCCAGACACGTAGGAGGCTCCCAGAGGATCAGCTGCCCAGCAGCCCCTTTTCTAGAAACTGCACGTCCACATGGTCACAGCAAGAGTCCCCGGGCTTTCTGCTCCTGCTACAGCCATGCAGCTGGACCAGCGGTGGAAGTCCCCACGAGCTGAGCCAATCAGAGGTCTTCCTGGAGAATCTGAAATCAAGAGATTCCAGGGAGGTCTGGCTTTCTCACAAACAAGAGGGACATACACTTCAGAAATGTTAGTGGTAAAAAAAAAAAAAAGGAAATGTTAGGGGTGGCCATTTTCTGCTATACAGGCAAAAATACAGAAGGAGCTGGTCTAGAGAGCAAGAGAAAAGAATGAGTCAGACCTGAAAAGAGAAGACCCAGTTGCATCTATGCCCTTGGGTTCCATGATACCCTACGGTTCTCCTAACAAAGTCCCGATCTTTGCTTAGAGTTGGTTTCTGTTACTTGCAACCAATAAATAGTTAGTGGAGTGGAACTCAGTCATTCTCAACCTGGGGTGACTTTGTTTCCCAGCGGACATTTGGTAATATCTGAAGACATTTTTGGTTATTCGAACTAGGGGGTCAGGAGTGGGTAGAGCTTGTGGGTGCTGTCCATAAAGAATTATCCAGTCCAAATGTCAAGAGTGCAGAAACCTGGTATAACTGAATCCAGCATGGATGTCCAAGGCGGGAACATCACCAAATGAAGGTAGATTCTATGTATCACTTCTCTGTTTAGCAAAAATGATTTTATATTAAATGCTAATATTCAGTGGTGAGAATTCTCCTACGTTGATAGTGGGAGGAAAGTCCATTAGTGCAACTCCTGTGAAGAGAATCATTTAACAGTATCAGGGGCCTTAAAATATTCACTCTTAGATCCAATAATTGACTTTTTAGAATTTATTCCTGGTAGAAAAATCTTAATTCAGAGATAATACACCAAGATTTATGCAGGAGGATGTTCATTGCAGCTTTATTTATAATGGTGAAAAACTGAACCAACTTGGCTATCCAATCACTGCATATTGGTTACATAAATTGTGATACATTCATATCACAGAATAATATACACAGCACTTAAAATTATGTTTGGGAAGATTATTTAGTAACACAGAGAAATGCTCGTTTGGCCAACTGAAAAAACAGAATATAAAAATTTTGAAATATATATAAGCACAGAAAAAAGGCTGCAGGGAAATTTATCAAAACATCAGCTGTGGCCATCTTGAGGGACCCGGCTCACAGCTAGTTTCAGTTTCCCAGTCTTTGAAATTATTTTCTAATTTTTCTGTAACAAACATGTATTACTTTTATAATCAGGAAAAAATTAATACTAAAAAGAAATCCTAGAATCAGAATTGAAGATAGCATAGATTTATTCATTCATCCAAAAATAAATACAGTAGTCCC